ATTATATTATTAAATCAAATATAAAATTATTTTGTTATTTAATTTAAATTAAATTATAATAAAAAATTGAAGTAAAGAAGTTACACCAAAAAAACGAGAACTATTAAATGGTTAATTTGATACTGATATCGATTTTATTTTTTTCAAAATTTCATGTTATCTTCAAATTTATATTTCATTCAAAAATAAAAACATTAATGTTTTCTCAAAATCATATAAAATCGTATTATATCAATAGAGACAATGAATAAAAATTAAACATTAAAATAGAGATTTATCTCATTGTATTACACGAGTATCTTTTTAGTATAAATTAAATAGTGAAGAAATTTGATTAGAAAAGTGGATATAATTAGCATAAAAAGTGGAGAGTGGAATGTTGGATTGATGATGGGATCACCCAACTCTTCACACACCTCTTGAAGCAAACTCTTCATCATTAAGTCTTGCCTAATTTTATATATAATCATTCTCTACACTATACACTACATCACACACAATATGTGATATATACTTATATATATATATATATATATCTATACTATTTTATTAAGCAAATTTAATAAAAGTTATAAAGTCTTAAAATACTAAATGACCAAAATACCCTTTATACTCACTTTTTCACCCCCTCATCCCCTCACATACACTCACCTTCTCATAACCGAATTTTTTTTAAATTATAATTTAAATTTACAATTTATACCCCTATAATTAATTAATTTATTTATTTTACGTTCTTTACTTTTAAATGTTTCATTTTAAACTTTTATTAAATTAACATACATAATCGTATATCAATTAAAACATGTTTAAAAAATACGTTTTTATTTTAACAAGTTACACCATTATAATCGTCTCGTTAATACCTTCGAAATGAGTCCAATATTGAATAATTTTTGACTTAATTATATTATTATATATTATATATACTATGAAAAAATATTTTTAATATTTACGGTTTATACTTTTATAGTTATTGATTCATATATATACTATATATTTTGGGGTTAGGCTGTCCAAATTGCACTGTATAATATGTTTTGAATTAATATGTTCTTGGGTTTTTTTGAAATATCGTTTGGTTTTATGTTCAAGTCATTAATGGTTTAGGTTTAGTTATAAATTGTTAATCGTTTTAGGTTTAGTCCATTTTTATTCCAAATTGTTATCTCATTTATGCAATGTAATCAAAAGTTTTGGATCCAGCAGGGTCTTCAAACATATTGGAACGTCCTTGAATGTAATAAAAAAAATTCACGTTCATTATTCATGATAAATAAGGACATGTGTCGTACTAACGTTTTATCCCTCATTTCACAAAGGAAATCAAGTTTGTAACAGAACTTTCCTCTAATATTTCATGCGTATAAGTTTAATATGTCGACAAATATAGTTGTAGCTTCTTTATGGTAGGGCAAGAAGCAGGGACGAACCCATATATATTTTTTTTCAAACGGTGGTACCATTTGACTATAAGAAAAAAGCACAGGGAAAATATTTCAAATGGTGACACCGTTTGACTATAAGAAACAAATATATGAATTTTTTTTCAAACGTGACACCATTTGACTAAGAAAATAACACTAAGAGTATTCAAATTTGCGTTTGGGGTAGAATAAAAACCTTGCAAACCAACTCTATCAAATAAAACTTGTTCTCATTGCAGTTTCAAAATACATACGGTAACACACAACAAATCAGTACGATTGCACCTTTCACGAACCTAAAAATTGTTACCATTCGACGGAGGAATAATATGGTGACACGTGCCACCTATGCACCACTATAGGTCCGTCCCTGGCAAGACAGTTCATAAACAAATAGCGAGCTTTCTCAAATTATTTAAACCGTATTCAAATGTTTACGACATTTTAAATAATGTTATTAAAAAAAATTTTATTTTAATATATAGTTTTCTAATTACCATCAAAACATTGTCATTTACAAAAACACCCATATCCCCTCTTGGTAGAAAATCAAGAAATAAGCATGTTTTTCAAATGATATCAACATTGAGCATAGGAATTCAAATTCATCGTATTTATTATTAGGGTCAACCTAATCTTGGTAGGGGTGCTCATGGGTTGGGTTGATCGGATTGAATACATTTGAACAACTCAACCCAATGTTTGCGGTTTGAAAAATCTTAACACAACCCAAACCAAAGTGCAATCCAACTCAACTCAAACCATACGGGTTGGTTAGGTTGATACTTTGGTACATTAAAATATAATTATAATCTTGAATATGTTATTTCTCTATTCGTAATTTTTTTTATCATCAACCATTTGATACAACTTATCCATACTTCTTACGTATATCACATTCAKTTAATTTTCTCAATTTACATATATATGTTCACAGTTACTGAACATATATACAAATAAGTTATATAGAGATTGAAAATATGCGTATATGAAGAGCGTATGCGATAATGTAAGTGTCTAATGTATATATTAATAGAAATTCAACAATCATAATAAATCCAATAAATAAAAGGATATCTAGTTTATCGGGTTAGGTTAAGTTCAAATAATAATAACCCAAAATATCAACCTAATACCTACGATTTGAAAATTTTACCACTCGATTAGACATCGGGTTGCTTCAGGTTGAGTTATTTCGCGTTGGGTTGGGTTGTGTTGGGTTGATTGATTGAGTTGGTCGGGTTTTTGAGCATCCCTATATCCTGGGGTGTGTTGTTGCCGCATAAGGCCTTTGAACGTTGAGAACATCTTGAAAAAATTATGTCTGCTTATCTATGTTATATTATAAAGCATTTGACAAAAACTTTAAAAATCATTTTTTATATATGAAGTACTGTTTATTGATGCATATTACTTAAACTTTAAGATTACAAGTAAATTGTGCGTAAGTATAACTTATTAAGCTTCATATTTGAATCCGTATAACTAACTATAGATAAAAATAATCAAATATTGAATAAAGTTATTATTTTAAATATAAAATTAAAAATATAATTAKGATAATTGAGTTCTAATAGGAAAACTCAGTTATTACCTTTATAAAAAATAAATTAYTTCGTCATTAAACCTAAATTAAATTATAAAATAAAAAATTAAATTAAAAAAACTACACAAAATGAGAACTTTTATATTTTTTTTTTATTTTTTATAATATCTTCAAATTTATATTTTATTAAGAA